TTTGGATAATTAATAGTGGCAACGAATTTATCTGTGGAACAATCACATGTTCTGTACCCTGGTTTCTTTAAATAAGTAATAGTGGCAACGAATTTATCTAGGTAAAAATCACATGTTCTGTACCATGGTTTCTTTGGATAAGTAATAGTGGCAACGAATTTATCTAGGAACAATCACATGTTCTGTACCCTGGTTTCTTTGGATAAGTAATAGTGGCAACGAATTTATCTATGGAACAATCACATGCTCTGTACCATGGTTACTTTGGATGAGTAATAGTGGCAACGAATTTATCTATGGAAGAATCACATGTTCTGTACCATGGTTTCTTTGGATAATTAATAGTGGCAACGAATTTATCTATGGAACAATCACATGTTCTGTACCCTGGTTTCTTTGGATAAGTAATAGTGGCAACGAATTTATCTAGGTAAAAATCACATGTTCTGTACCCTGGTTTCTTTGGATAAGTAATAGTGGCAACGAATTTATCTATGGAACAATCACATGCTCTGTACCATGGTTACTTTGGATGAGTAATAGTGGCAACGAATTTATCTATGGAAGAATCACATGTTCTGTACCATGGTTTCTTTGGATAATTAATAGTGGCAACGAATTTATCTATGGAACAATAACATGTTCTGTACCCTGGTTTCTTTGGATAAGTAATAGTGGCAACGAATTTATCTAGGTAAAAATCACATGTTCTGTACCATGGTTTCTTTGGATAAGTAATAGTGGAAACGAATTTATCTAGGGAACAATCACATGTTCTGTACCATGGTTACTTTGGATGAGTAATAGTGGCAACGAATTTATCTATGGAAGAATCACATGTTCTGTACCATGGTTTCTTTGGATAAGTAATAGTGGCAACGAATTTATCTATGGAACAATCACATGCTCTGTACCATGGTTACTTTGGATGAGTAATAGTGGCAACGAATTTATCTAGGTAAAAATCACATGTTCTGTACCATGGTTTCTTTGGATAAGTAATAGTGGCAACGAATTTATATAGGGAACAATAACATGTTCTGTACCATGGTTTCTTTGGATTAGTAAAAGTGGCAACGAATTTATCTAGGTAACAATCACATGTTCTGTACCATGGTTTCTTTGGATTAGTAAAAGTGTCAACGAATTTATCTATGGAACAATCACATGTTCTGTACCATGGTTTCTTTGGATAAGTAATAGAGGCAACGAATTTATCTAGGTAACAATCACATGTTCTGTACCATGGTTTCTTTGGATAAGTAATAGAGGCAACGAATTTATTTAGGGAACAATCACATGTTCTGTACCATGGTTTCTTTGGATAAGTAATAGTGGCAACGAATTTATCTAGGAACAATCACGTGTTCTGTACCATGGTTACTTTGGATAAGTAATAGTGGCAACGAATTTATCTAGGTAACAATCACATGTTCTTTACCATGGTTACTTTGGATAAGTAATAGTGGCAACGAATTTATCTAGGTAACAATCACATGTTCTGTACCATGGTTTCTTTGGATTAGTAAAAGTGTCAACGAATTTATCTATGGAACAATCACATGTTCTGTACCATTGTTTCTTTGGATAAGTAATAGAGGCAACGAATTTATCTATGGAAGAATCACATGTTCTGTACCATGGTTACTTTGGATAAGTAATAGTGGCAACGAATTTATCTAGGAACAATCACATGTTCTTTACCATGGTTACTTTGGATAAGTAATAGTGGCAGCGAATTTATCTATGGAACAATCACATGTTCTGTACCATTGTTTCTTTGGATTAGTAATAGTGGCAGCGAATTTATCTAGGGAACAATCACATGTTCTGTACCATGGCTAATTTGGATAAGTAATAGTGGCAACGAATTTATCTAGGGAACAATCACATGTTCTATACCATGGTTTCTTTGGATTAGTAAAAGTGGCAACGAATTTATCTATGGAACAATCACATGTTCTGTACCATGGTTTCTTTGGATTAGTAAAAGTGGCAACGAATTTATCTATGGAACAATCACATGTTCTGTACCATGGTTTCTTTGGATTAGTAAAAGTGGCAACGAATTTATCTAGGGAACAATCACATGCTCTGTACCATGGTTTCTTTGGATAAGTAATAGTGGCAACGAATTTATCTAGGGAACAATCACATGCTCTGTACCATGGTTACTTTGGATAAGTAATAGTGGCAGCGAATTTATCTAGGAACAATCACATGTTCTGTACCATGGTTACTTTGGATAAGTAATAGTGGCAACGAATTTATCTAGGTAAAAATCACATGTTCTGTACCATGGTTTCTTTGGATTAGTAAAAGTGGCAACGAATTTATCTATGGAACAATCACATGTTCTGTACCATGGTTTCTTTGGATTAGTAAAAGTGGCAACGAATTTATCTAGGGAACAATCACATGCTCTGTACCATGGTTTCTTTGGATAAGTAATAGTGGCAACGAATTTATCTAGGGAACAATCACATGCTCTGTACCATGGTTACTTTGGATAAGTAATAGTGGCAGCGAATTTATCTAGGAACAATCACATGTTCTGTACCATGGTTACTTTGGATAAGTAATAGTGGCAACGAATTTATCTAGGTAAAAATCACATGTTCTGAACCATGGTTTCCTTGGATAAGTAATAGTGGCAACGAATTTATCTAGGGAACAATCACATGTTCTGTACCATGGTTACTTTGGATAAGTAATAGTGGCAACGAATTTATCTATGGAACAATCACATGTTCTGTACCATGGTTACTTTGGATAAGTAATAGTGGCAACGAATTTATCTAGGTAAAAATCACATGTTCTGAGCCATGGTTACTTTGGATAAGTAATAGTGGCAACGAATTTATCTAGGTAAAAATCACATGTTCTGAGCCATGGTTACTTTGGATAAGTAATAGTGGCAACGAATTTATCTAGGAACAATCACATGTTCTGTACCATGGTTACTTTGGATAAGTAATAGTGGCAACGAATTTATCTAGGGAACAATCACATGTTCTGTACCATGGTTACTTTGGATAAGTAATAGTGGCAACGAATTTATCTAGGTAAAAATCACATGTTCTGAACCATGGTTTCCTTGGATAAGTAATAGTGGCAACGAATTTATCTAGGGAACAATCACATGTTCTGTACCATGGTTTCTTTGGATAAGTAATAGAGGCAACGAATTTATCTAGGGAAAAATCACATGTTATTTACCATGGTTACCTTGGATAAGTAATAGTGGCAACGAATTCACCTATGGAACAATCACATGTTCTGTATCATGGTTACTTTGGATAAGTAATAGTAGCAGCGAATTTATCTAGGAACAATCACATGTTCTGAACCATAGTTTCTTTGGATAAGTAATAGAGGCAACGAATTTATCTAGGGAACAATCACATGTTCTGTACCCTAGTTTCTTTGGATAAGTAATAGAGGTAACGAATTTATCTAGGGAACAATCACATGTTCTGTACCATGGTTTCTTTGGATAAGTAATAGTGGCAACGAATTTATCTAGGGAACAATCACATGTTCTGTACCATGGTTTCTTTGGATAAGTAATAGTGGCAACGAATTTATCTAGGAAATAATCACATGTTCTGTACCATGGTTTCTTTGGATAAGGAATAGTGGCAACGAATTTATCTAGGGAACAATCACATGTTCTGTACCATGGTTTATTTGGATAAGTAATAGTGGCAGCGAATTTATCTAGGGAACAATCACATGTTCTGTACCATGGTTTCTTTGGATAAGTAATAGTGGCAACGAATTTATCTATGGTTTCTACAAGCTATTTTTGAAATAAACTATTGATTATTGTATTAAGTAAATATATAGCATACATATAAAATGAAAGGATTTAAAAGCACGAATGTTTCTTTTATATATAATACTAACTTCTACTGCCCTTACTGCGATGAAAAAATATATTGGGAGGGCTTGGCTCATCAGTGGTGAACCCTCCCAGCGGTTTCGTCAATTTAATCCACCAGACCGCTTCTCAGAGCTCTAATACTGTATTGGACTATTCTGCTTATATACGCAGCACTGAAGGATGTAATCTCAGAAATGGTTTTCAAGAAAACTATGGACATAAGCATATATTTTTTTCATCGCAGTAAGGGCAGTAGAAGTTTGTATTATATATAAAAGAAATATTCGTGCTTTTAAATCCTTTCCTTTTATATGTATAGATGGTGCGTTATTGCTTTGTGTTGTTAATATAGCATACTCTCATTTAGTTTTAATAATTATATAGCTCTTTCTTCTCTCTCTTTGTTTGATTATTTGTTATCATGTTAAATATATATATATATTTTTTTTTAAATGACAAAAGTTATATACCTAGATTTAAAAAAATAATAATAATAAAGGTCACCTCTCTCGTCAAAACAAACATTAAAACTAAGTGCCATCTATTGACCGTCTCCGCAAACTGGCGGACTTTTGTCGGTAACAAAGTCACAACACCAGCTTTGGCAAACTGAGAAGCGCCCTCCTAGTTTCGGGCTAATGGCCCTCTTCAGCCCAGAGCGAACTTTCTTTCATGAGATCCACAAGAAATGAAATCTTCACAATCTGCTAAATCTATGACCAAACTATTGATGGATATTTTTCCGGGAGGAAATAGATCAATATAAAATAAAGGTCACCACTCCCGTCAAAGCAAACGTCAAAACTAAGTGATGTTATAGCTTTGACCTGCTGAACCCGCTGGTTTGCCAAGACGGTCAAAGGATGGAGCTTAGTTTTGGCGTTTTTTTTTTTTTTTTTGACGGGAGAGGCGACTTTCATTTTTATAGATCTATTTAAAATACAATATAACGCGGCTGATGATTGTAAAACGAAAATTGCAATTATACCGCGAATGTTTCTTTTAAACAAAAATCGACATTTATTTCAAAGAGAAATAGCGATTATTTCTAACTTTAAGGATGAAGTATGATAGGATGAATTGTGAAGAGTATTGACAAACGGAAAAATAAAAGTGTCCAGGGATGGGAATCGAACCCACAGTGTTCCGCTTACCGGGCAGATGCCATGTCCACTAGGCTATTTACTCCAGTGCAAAACTTAAAGTAAAGTCTAACGAATTTTTGGGGGGTTTTCCCCCTAATCAAAACAAAAGAACTATGATTAAGAAAACGATAATCTCCATTTTCGCCATAGAAGAAGAAACTAAGGTTAGGGAAAAGAGATTTATATAAAAGGATGATCGTACGATGATCTCGGACAAGACGCCCTTCTACGGGAACACGTAGCTTGTACGATCATCCTCTTTAATAAAAAAGCCCTTCTTTCCTACACGTGTTTCTTCTTCTATAGCAAAATAACTATTTTAATGGATTTGAGTAAAGTGGATATAAACTGATATACACTGATCTCTAAAATTGTGATTTGAGCCGGATGAATATCTTCATGAAACAAGAATTTCAAAGCATAGGCGACACACTTTCGACTTCCTGAAGAGATTAAGTAGAAAGAGAAAGAATAGATC